GTGTGTGTGTGTGTGTGTGTGTGTGTGTGTGTGTGTGTGTGTGTGTGTGTGCCTCCAAGGTCACATGTGGCAGGGCTGATTGAAGTCTTCCCTGATGTGCACTCACCTGGCAGGCTTTCCAGGCCTCTGGGCAGAGCTCCATTGAAGAAGCTTGTTTTGCCGTCTTGATTCACACTGTGCGATAGAATAATCACACTGATGCATTTCTTTCATCCCCTGCTAAACCAATCCGCTTCGTTTTGATCATTCCTGTGGAGCCCTGTGACCTGAGCGGCTGGTAATTGAGTGGTGGGGCTTGATGAGAGGTGCACGCTCTTTTTTCCCCCCACCCACCCCACCCCTCTTAACGCACACTGACATAACTGCCTGGGCCTGGTTCCCTGCTGGCAGCAGATGAACTAGAAAAAGCTCTCTTGCTGATTATTGGCAGATGAAAAAAGAAGATCCGCAGGGCTCAGCGAGAGGGGGGAGAGAAAAAAAAATATTATTGACTTCTCACTACAGCTACTATTTATTCTCCCCTTTTTTCTGTCCCTGTATTTGTTTTTGAGGCTGTTAGATGCTTGCCTCAGAGTATTTTTGGGGTAGCCTTTTGATTGAGCTGGAAAGGAATGCCTTTAATCGTGGCTACAAAGGAACCGAGGGACATATCCCCGTCGGTTTTGCAACAGATCTAGACAGATGAGGAGGAGGAGGAGGAGGCGGAACGGAGGAGTGAGCATTGTTAACAGTCTGTGGGGAGCTGTTTGCGTGCCCTGTGGTTTTCTAGTCCCTGTGAAATGGAGACTCAGTGATTCGGTTTCCCAGGCCCCTCTTCTTTTTTTTTTTTTTTTTTCTCAGGGCCGTACAGAAACCAAATGAAGACGTTGCAGTATGTCCCGGTTGCGATTTATAGTCCCAGCGCAGCGTGTTTCTAAGTGGTAGATGGCACCACCTGTGGCACATGGAGAGTGTTGGGAGCCATCTGATTGGAAGCGGTATGGCATATTTAAAATAGAAGTTAATGCTTAGTCTCGTCAACGATGCAAAACATAGACAGTGTGACCATGGAGGTGGTTGCCCTCAGAGCCCCTGAAGAGCCAGACGAGAGTGAAACCAGCCGCTCCTTCTGAGCTTGCCTGGCTCAGCTTTGGGATTATTATCCACTTTATTAGGTATGATTGCACTGTCCCGTGCGTCAACATGTTTAATATCACAACAAGATCCAAACATGACCGACCAAGCCTAAGGATTCAAAAATAAGTGTTGTAATTCCTTTTTTTTACGGTAAAATCAGATTTTTCTTTTTCCAACATTTCCCAGAAACCCTATAGTAAAAGAGAGCAGAGGTCATGGCATCGGTGAAGTGGTGTCATTAAAGGATATTCTTTTTGTATTTCTTTTTCTTTGTTGAGGGCCAAGTTCAGCTGTAGGCCTCTAATTTGGGCCTAGTAAATGTGGACTGGTAGAGGCAGCTGGCAGCGCAGCATGCGGCCCAGGCCAGGGGTTCATGCTGCCTAGCTGCCTGCCTTCTACAACGGGGGCTTCCATTCGGGAGACATGAGAGGGTCTGACAACATTATGCAGGGCAAAGTCTTCAATCAGGCTTATTCATTTCCTGTCTCATCTTCAACTAACTTCAGAGACATATTCTGGATTTGCTGCTGGGATGGTTTAGTGTCTTTGAGTACTTATCTCCTTGTCTTCAGTACTTTACAGCAGCAGTGGTTCACAACCTTCTTTTGTCTGACGAACCCTCACATATATCTACGAGAAGTAGTGCGCTATGATTACTATAGCCACGTAATCGTGAGCCGGGACATTTTAAGATTGAAGGATGAGGTTGGGATGGATGTACGCGTCAACAAACAGGACTTTCACCCAGCAGACAGCTGTTCGTGTCTCGAGCCAAACAAAAAGTCAATATTGACTTAATTCAACTTGCTTTTGTTAAGTAACTTAAGTAAAAAAACTTACATAATTTAGTAGGTTATGTAATAAACATACTTATTTTTTATCCAAACCACAATCTTTTCCTCAACCTACCAATGCATTTTTGTTGCTTAAACAGGTTCCGCACTGCAGAGGATTGCGCTGGTGCGTTGATAGTTCGTGTTCTTGGACATTGGTAATGAGAATGTATGAAAAAATATCAAAGAAGAAATCATACAAACCGCTGTATAAGGATCAGTTGTTCCAGAGCACAAGTACCCCTTCACTGACACCACCCCTCATGTTACAAATGTGTTCATTTCAATTAGAAAGTGTTTTTTTTTTTTACGCTCCCTACCTAGTTTCCTTGCACTCTCAATCATAATGCTAGCTTTAAGGTGTTACACCTGACTCCATTTGGCTGAATGGTTATTGTGACAGTAAAGACTCTAAAGATCACAATCATACCAATGTGTCATTTTATTCAGACTTTCATTTATTTTTCCTTAAACGCAAATATGTGGATATATCTCTTTAACGGAATTTTGATTTATATGCATGTACAGTATTTCTAAATGAACTCCCTAACCTCATCACAGGCCCTCTGACAACTGCAGAACTAGGCCCCGGAGTACCCTGGTTGGTAATCAGTAGGTCATTAATACATTTCTCTGATGGTGCTTGTGCAGGAGGCATTTGGCCGGCTGGGTTCCCCGACGAGTTTTGCCGTTAACACTCACGTCGTATTAATTATTTGTGGCATGTGAATCCACTGCACCGTCCAATCGCTACGCACAAGGTGTTCCCCTCCTGTCGTCTTTTACCTCCATGCCCCCAAGTCTGCGCCCCTCTCTCTCTCTCTCTCTCTCTCTCTCTCTCTCTCTCTCTCTCTCCTTGTGACGAACATGCACCAGCACTTTTGCAGCACATTACGTCAATTCCCCTGGACCTGGGGGGTGCCAGCTGTTGATGTCACCCTTGGGTCTTTTTAATTTAGGGATTTCCGCTGGGTGAGATGAGGGGGAGCCCCATGACCTCAGCCCACAGCCACATGAAGAGGCCCACCGGGGCAGAACCAGGCCGGTGGCAGGGCAGGGTGGGACCGCTTTGCTGGGGTGTGGGCGAGCGCCCAGGGTACCGGACTGATCGAGGAGCGCCGCATCAATGCACCCGTCTCTGCCATGCGAAGAAAGTTTGTGATGTGCGGGGGGGTTTCAGGAGCGGTTTGCTCCCTTTTGGACTGCCGTGCGATTCCTCGTACCCGTGACAGCATGTCTGTGACTTGCAAACACCGCTGCTATCCCTTGAGCCCTTAAATGCAGCCTTTCAGCAGCTACGATTTTCCTCCCATTCAGATGGGGATCAAATGTTCCTACCAAAGACTATCTCTCGTTCTTTCAGTCCTCAAGGCTTTGAGTGGGAGTGAACATCGCCGTCCCGTGTAATTGATTTTGCAGGGTGCCAAAGGTTTTTCCTCCTTGATATCAACTGTAAACGCTTTAGAGAGTAAACGCCTTCATTGAAGACATAAACGCTTCTGGCCGTCCAGATTGTCTCAAACATTGTTTTTCTTTGACTTCCTCTCGGTCACTGTAGGTTACATGTGTTTTTGTTGTATCAGGATAAATATATTGGATTTTGTATGATTGTAGAGGTTAGTGTTTTTTGGGGTTTACAGCTGTGGTTTGATGTTTCCCCACCTCCGCCTCCACTCATACACATACACAAATATCTTTACACTTAACTACGATTATTATTTTTCCAATTCTCTTTTCCTCCTTAAATTGTTGTCACAAAGCTTTAATAGATAAGCATAAAATAATCAAAATGTTATGTTCAGTAATAGTGCAGTGCAGTTCAGGTGCTTTCCATCCAGCCAATTGAAGCTTTTATCATCAATCGGCATTTGTCTTGTACTTGCCACCAGTATGTGAGATTAGTATTAAAGTGTGCAGTTTTTAAGTTATACTTTATCTTTGTGTTAAAAAAAAATAAGTTTTCATTTTGTGCTGGCTCTCTTTGGACTATACGATCCATCAGTGTGCTCAGCTGATTTAGTTTGTAATCATTTACAAAGAAAGTGTCGTGTGGTATTCCATAATTAAATCTAATCCCCTGAAATGTGTCAGCACCAAATATTACGAGTTGTTACTGTGGATGTTACCTTTGATACATCGGTGTGATTGGGTGGAGAGACTGCGGATGAGCTGTTTGTGTACCTGCGACATTCATGCTTCTTGCACTTCTCACGAGGGCTTCACACATCAAACAAATGTATTCCTCTACACCAGAAAAAATCCCACCAGAGACATCTGCATTGCTGTTCATTTCTGATATGTCCGAGTGATTCTTTTCCTGTCCTCGTGTGAGATGATAACCTCCTTCTCTCTCTCTCTCTTTATTTTTTGCAGTATCACCCTCTGTCTCTGTGCAACACAAGCGAGGATGAACGACAAGAAAGTGACTTCATCACCATTGTCAAACTGGAGCACAGGGTACCCCGCTGTCTGCCGCTGCTCGATAAGGTACGGATCACACACACACATACACACACACCTTGAAAATGCTTCCCGCCCTGAGAAACTCCCCTCTCCGTGACCCCTTCCCCTCTCAGACATGCCAGCAGACAGATATTCCCTCTTGCCATCATGTCTTCTCTCCGGTACCCCGTTTCCGCTCTTGGGTTTAGCCCTTTTAAAGAGAAGATGGTTTTAGAGGGAACGATTTGGCAGGAGCTTAATGTTTTGTTCGGGACAGTGATCTTTCAGAGCGAGGGCTTGGACGGGAGGGGGTGGGCTTAGCTCGGCGCTGCTATGTAGCAAGTGGCAGTGAGCCCTGGCTTTGGATGTAAGGCTTTTTCAATCCCCAGCTGTCACTGGTCCGATCCCAGCCAGCCGGCCGGCCAGCCAGCCAGAACCAGACACTCTGCTTCCCTCTAATATGAACGCAGCCGGAGCTCCGTGGATTCCGCCCACGATGGTTTAGATGTATGTGCGACTGACCTAAACCTCCCTTGTGTTTAAGTATCCTGCCATACACACTGGCTGGCGTAGCCTAACTTTAAAAAAAGTGTGATTTAAAACTGTTGCTATTTTTTCCCCCCTCGTTTTTTTCAAGTGGTGACAAATTAGCAGGCAGGAGTATAGTTAGGCGACTGCCTTTTTTTAGCCTGTGTTTTCTTTTCCCCTAATTTAAAGCCATGTTTAGGAGCTGCCCGCCGTGGCGACGATGTAGAGGCATTCCCACACTTCCCTTGCTCCTTTCTTCCTCCTCCTGTTGCTCCTCAAGCGGGCCGAAGGGGGGTGGTGATGGTGGGGGCTTGTCACTCAAGGCCGACTCCAGAAAACAGTTCTGATTAACGCCTTAATGGCAACACCATGTTGTCCCATAAACAAAACACGGTCTCTCCCCCATGCAAAAGTACCCTGGAACAAAAGGCTGTTGCTTCCGAGTGCTTTCTCCCTCCCTGCAGATCGCCTTTGAAATCAGGAGAAGTGAAGGGAGGGGGGGGTCGCTCTTGTTGTTTTGGTCGACTGGAAAGTATGTGTTGCAGTAAACTCCGCTCCAGCCACCTGCATCCTCGCTTCCGTAGCGAGATTCAAAGCTTTTCGGTCGTGGTGGATTTATTGGGGGGGGGATTCATCGTGCAGCTGTTGAAGAGTTTGGCCTTTCGAGGAGGATGAATCAGACTGCTTGGGATGTGCGGTGCTGGACCAGCCGTGGTCTCTGGATGGGACTTGTTTACAGTTTAGTCTGACTGCAGCCCGCCCCGCTGATCTATAGATACCTCGACGGCCACAGAGGGTTCGTGTTGCACCGCGCACACCCGGAATAGACTGCAAACCAAACAAACCTTCAGGGATAAGGTTTCATTGTTGTCCTTTGTTTTTATTTTGGTTTGCAGAGGTTTCTATCCTCGTCATCATGAACATGGGAGATTCCTTTGCCTAATTAATCAGTGCCGTCTCTCGCTATTCACTTCGCCGAATGGATCCCACAGCACCCTAGAAGTTTATCTCTGAGGATGTCAGTGCCGCCGGACGTCTTCAAATTAAAAGGAAAGGCTTTCTGCAGACACCCTCAATGAGAAGTTGTGCATTTAATCATCGCCCTCTCCTGGTGCATTCCGTGCTACTGGCAACCTCTCACCCACATTCACATATTTGCACGAAATGAGCAGTTTTTGTAAGTGGAAGTGCTGCTACTCCAACTTTGAAGTGGAAGTCTCTAATAATCCTATGATGCGGTCAATCTTAGAAGGATATTCTTCAACTCACACAAGTTGAATTCCAGAAAGAAATATTATTGTAAAACCTGTAGGAAGCAACATTTAACAACATATGGGAAGCAATAAATTATACTTACTTACTATAGTAATGTCTCTCAAATTAAGAAAGAAAATCAAAAATATTGTTGATTGTGATGGGGTCCCCCTTTTCTTTTTTTTACCCCTGGCCTCAGTTTAGGCCACATCATGGCATATTTTTTTTTTTTTTGTAATTATTTTGGGGTTATTTTATGCTTTTATGTGCCTTTTATTTATTTATACATGTTCTTCAGGGCATTAGCGCCCATGTGGTCTGCGCCCTAACCACTCGGCCGACCTGATGTATTTTTTCACACCTTTACGTGGTCAACTTTGAATAATCTAGAATAAGACTTGCCGTTGCTTCCTACCGATCCGTGTTTCCGTTATACAGCTCTCTCTGTGCAGTTGCCTGAATCAAAAACTCTCCACCGCTCCTGTGGTTTTGCATCATTACACAACACAACACAAGCGGAGGCCACGGCCTTCCTCTGCCAGCATGTCCTGCTAGAAGTGATCCGTCTGCTTTCAGACAGCTTGGCTTTTGCTGTTTACACCAAAGCCCTGGAAAGGTTCTCAAGCTAAGTCACGGAGCGACACATGACTCGATGAGAAAAGGCATCGCAGTGGGTGCCGGTAGTGCTCAGTAGTGCTACTCTAAACGCCAAGCAAGGCACCGAGACAGCGAGCTGACTTTCCCCCCTAACAATCCACGTTTTTTTGTGCAAACAGCGAGCTTTTACAGTGATCGAGTCTTCGGCCCGTGTCTCAACTTGTTGACTCTCACAGAAAGCCTTGCTTATTGATTCGGCTCCTCTCAGATGAAAAAGGGTTACGGCCTGATTATGCAGTAATCCTGTTTAAACACTCTAACTCACTACATGTGCATGTGTGTGAATACTGTGTGTGTGTGTGTGTGTGTGTGTGTGTGTGTGTGTGTGTGTGTGT